TAAGTTCGAGAGCTTATTTGATAGTTCTCCCAAGATATAATAAATTATTTAAAGAAATGAAACCTAATACGAGTAATACATTACATTGGGGGAAATGAAATGAAAGAATTGTAATTTTCAAGGGACGAATGTTTTTTATTTGATATGTACCAAATTGTGGGTGTATATCTAATGTGTGTAGAGGTGTGTAATCGTGTATGCCTAGTTTCATGGACGATGGACGGATTGAATGATCTAGCTCACATTAGGATGTTTTTACTTGGACTGTAATTTGCCCCAGACCAGATCAGACCAGACCAGTCCAGACCAGACCAGTTCAGACCAGACCAGACCAGACCAGACCAGACTTGGATAGTTATAAAAATACAAAGAAACCAGACCTTACCAGACCAGTTCAGACCAGACCAGACCAGATCAGACCAGACCAGACCAGACCAGACCAGCAAATTACAGTCCAAGTAAAAACATCCTTATACCACAATGCATTTCACCACGAATAAGCTATGTAGCACCGATACCGGTACGCGGAAACGCGGAAACGCGGAAACGGGTACGGGGATACGTCAAAACCAAAAAAAGTAGGATACGGATACGGGGCCATATTTATAAATATTAAAAGTTATGGGGGTGTATTTACAAATATTAAAAGTTATAGAGGTCTATTTATAAATATTAAAAATAGATTTTTTTAATATATATATATATATATATATACACACACACACATATAATATCCTATGATGTCTACCCATATATTGCATTGAAGCATTTTCCTTTTTCAAGATACTTAGTAATAAATTCATAATATTTCTCATATACACTAGTGTATCTCGAAATATAAATGTAGTCAATAAGTCATTAATTTAAAATGAGAAATAAGTCAAACAACTACAATCTTGAAATTAAAAGTGCAAGTACCCAATTCGGAGTATGAGTTAATGACTTAATTCGGATATAGCCATATAGGATTTATAGGCCCATTATTTGATTACCAAGTAAAATGTAGTTTTAGATTTTCATTTTTTTTAGATTTTTATTAAGTAAATTTTGGGAATTTTTATTTTAAAAGTTGATACGGGTATCCGTCAGGATACGAGTATCGGAAACTTTCAAAAAATTACAAAAAAAAAATGGAAACTTTTAAAAAATTGCAGATACGGCCCGGGAACGTACGGTACGGGTATCCTAGAAAATCCGATACGGGAACGTATCGGATACGCCGATACGCTACCCTAGGGAAGTATCCGTGCTTCATAGCGAATAAGTCATTGTCATGAAATATAGAGATCATAACCGAATGACCAGTAGGCAGTAGTAGCATAGCCAGAGTTGAACAATGGGTTGGGCCGGTGTAGAATTTTTAGACAAATTAGACTTTTGCACTAATTAAAAAGAAATTTTCAATTTTTAAATATGGGTGTGGGCGGGGCATGCCACAGCCCCCCTACCTCAGCCCAAGTCAATGACATGCTTATCCACGTCACCATTGTCATGGCTCTTGTTGGAGGTATTGGTCCTATCAAGGCCTCCCTTCCACTTATTATGTTAAGGCCTGCACCCTAAGTTTAACCCTACTCCTCTTTAGCCCTTAATGTTTTTCTCTCTGGCAAATAACCTATTCGTTTACTCACTGATTGAACTGGCCTTTGGCCACTTGGTTTTCTATTCGTTGCTTTGTTTGGTGCCTCCCTATATCTTTTTGTCTTCAAGTCTTGTGACTTGTATAAGTCAGAGTGTATCCCCTTTCTTGTTGTGTGCAGCAAATACATTGAGTGTATGAGTGAACCTAGAGCTGGCCATCAGTCCTGATCTTCTTCGTGAGGTACCAAAACAGAGAGTGTGTGGGCTAATTTTCTTCTTCTTGTAAAGCTTCCTTGTGTGGGAGCTTGAGAGGTGTGATGGGTTAAACTTGGAGAGTGGTGGAGTGGCTAAACAATCCTGGGGTGATGTGTGTGAGTTATTTTGGTCGGAGACCTGAGCTGAAATACACACCCAACAACTCTCACTTATTTAAATTGGTCAGTGAGTGTAGCTCAACTTATGGGTAAAGTGTATTAATAATATGTTGATTCGAGTTCAAATTTTGACAACTAGATTAACAGGCAATTTTGTTCAGCAAGGGTCTTCATAGCTCTCATGTGTAGGCCCCGCTTCTTTATACTTAGAATTTAAATGAAGCAACATGGCATCCAGGGGTGGAGCCAAGGGGGTCAGGGTGGTCAACTGATCCCACAGAAAGTTTGAGAATATTGAGCTCTGAACTACTTTTGATTTGATATATTATAATTCTCGTAACTCATTACGAGTAAAAAGTTTCAAATGAGTAAAATTTGATGCATAATACTAACTATATTGTCAAATTTTAAAAGCAGCGTATATTTCACTTATCATTTACCTAACATGACTCATGAACAAAGCAGAGAAAACATATCTTACTGCTACGATTACAATAGCCATCTTATCTGATATATAAATCTTGATATTAAGTCGGGTGAGAAAGGAATTAGAGTTCAAGGGTAAGACAAAAAGTCTTATCTGAGCCTGATGCAGAAACTCGTTAACTAAACCCGTATAAAATAAGTTTATAATATATATAACATATACTCGTATATAACATATATATATAACATATATATGACCCACTTGCTAAATATGGTATTGTTGGTTAAATCAGATATTATGGTGTGTGATTTGAGGTATGAAAATGGGGCAAACATCTGGTGATTATGTAGTGTGGGGCAAGACAAAATTTTTTTGTAACTTTTAGTTCTATCCGATTTGAGAAATCGGACACATGGTCACATTTACTATTCACATGGACACATGGTCAACTCAAATTATTCTTAATCTTTTACTTTATATATCCATTGTTTATCAAATTTAATTTTTTTATCAGACTTTGTAGCGGTTTTAATGTAGTTTCTGAAGATGTAAATTCTATTTATTAAAAATAATTCAAGGATGGACATGAATCAAGCTGCTTTATCGTCACTCAAACATCGTAAATTGAACTATGAATATTATTATGGGACGGAAGGAGTACAAAAAACTGTCCATAAAATTGACGTAATATTTGACTCGCTTTTAGTTCAATGAATATAAAACGGAGTAGAAGTGAAGCAGAGTCTGAATTGCTATAAAATTACTCCCTCCGGTTTTTAATAAACTTCACACTTTCTTTTTTGGGACGGTCTAAAATAAACTTCACACTTCCTTATTTCCTTTTTTGGCAAAGAAATCTACATCAAAACAGTGTCAAACAGTGTCTCAATAGTGCCAAACAGTGTCTCTACAGTGCCAAACAGCGTCAAACAGTGCCTCAACAGTGTACTCTACAGTAAAGTCAAATTTTTTTTCCTTATTTTGTGTGAAGTCAAAGTGTGAAGATTAAATAAAATCGGAGGTAGTATAATTTAAAAATATATTCGAATGGCCACCTGTTAGTAACACTAAAATAGAAACAAGAAAAACTAATTGGCAACTCTTTAGGCAAATTATATCGTGCAACCGGGGCACCATGAGGATGGTGCGCCCGGTTGCAAAACGACAGAGTATTGATGAGGCCTGGTTTCTTTATTTTTATCCTTTGTTTTTTAAAAATGGTAATAACTTTTTTATTTTTGATCCGATTTTTATAAAATTTATATCAACATTTTTTATTTTTCATGATCTTTCAAATGAGACTAATATTGCTTATGTAATTTTAAGAAATTATCAAACTATTATATTAATGTGTATTGGATTATAAGGAAAATCAAACTAAATTTAATACAGAAAAATAATTGTGTGAATCACAATTTATCTTAAAATTGTGTATATAAAAAAATTTATTGTATTAGGTATTTATACATGTGAGTTACATATTTTTATATGTGAAGTTACATATTTTTACACGTAAAGTTACATATTTATACACGCGAGTTACATATATATACACACGAGTTACATTTGACTTGCCTGAACGCGAGTTACATATATTTACACGTGAAGTTACATATTTTTACACGTAAAGTTACATATTTATACACACGAGTTACATATTTATACACACGAGTTGCATTTGACCTGTCTGAACGCGAGTTACATATTTTTTTAAGTAAAGTTACATATTTGTACACGTAGAGTTACATATTTATACACACGAGTTGCATTTGGCCTGACTGAACGTGAGTTACATATTTTAATACATAAAGTTACATATTTTTACACGCAAATGTTAATATGTTAAAATTACATAGGCAATATTGGTCTCATTTGAAAGATCATGAAAAATAAAAAATTTTGATATAAATTTTATAAAAATCAGATCAAAAATAAAAAAATTATTAACATTTTTTTTAAAAAAAAGAGAAATAAAAAATAACAAAGCCAAAATGTACGAATTGCTTCTTCACTCTCCCAGGTATACCATGCGCACCGTGGGACGGTTGCATGGTATACGAACTGACTCTTTAGTGCGTTACAGCGTTAGAATAAAGTTGACCCGAAGTCCCTTTTAAAACAAAAAATTGACCCAGTGTTTAAGTTTGTTAAAAAAAAACCCTAGGTTTGTTGATTGATAGTGTGGTTAGGACTGAATATTGGTGGGAAAGTTCCCGAAATAGGACTAAAACAGTTTGAAAATTCCAAAATAGGACTGTCATGTTTTTTATTCCCAAAATAGGAGTAATTAGTGCCAAGTTTGAAAAATATTGCCATGTTTGAAGTCTGGTACTGCCAAAACATGACAATAATTAGTCCTATTTTGGGAATAAAAACATATCAATCCTATTTTGGAATTTTGAAATCTTTTTAGTCATATTTCGAGTAATATCCCAATATTGTTTCAGATCAATAGATTGAATAGAATAGAAGTTTAAAGAATTAATTAAGAATACCTTTGATCTAATTTAGGGTCAATGTAGTCATTTACAATCGTAAAAAAAAGAGGCAAATGGGATGCGGGTTTAATGCGAGAGACCCTATGTGATATGTGGAGTACATAAGCATTACATATTAACCCATTGTGATTTAAAAATGCATCAACCATTCTAAGTTATAATTAAATGATACTCACAATCCCTAGAAAGAACAAACTTAATTGATGAATAAAAGAAAAGTAATTACGGGGTAGTACATTTCTATGATTTTGTGGTTTTGACAAATGTATATGCTAGTTCAATCTTTATGTATGTACCCGACATGGGGATTTGATGCACATCAAAGATTTTGTATATCACAAAGTGATTTGACACATTAAAAAATTTCAAAACTTTAGTATATAGCCGAATTAGCCGTTGTGTATTGAATCTAATGTTCATTGAAGAAATTTCACCATCTAAATCTATATCCCTAAACATTTAGCTACCTTTAGCAAGGAGTTGAATCTAATGTTCATTGAAGAAATTTCACCATCTATTTCTATATCCCTAAACATTTAGCTACCTTTAGCAAGGAGTCATCTCCTGAATGTGTTTTTCATGCAAACTGTCATCAGCGGCGGACGCAGGAATTCCGGCTAGGAGGGGTGACAGGGTAAAAATATACGTACAAATACATATATATTAAAATTTCGGGATAAATATACCTAGAAAAATAAAATTTTGGGGGACAGCAGCCCCCATTTGCCCCCATGTTCGGTCCGCCACTGACTGTCATATCCCATTAGAAATACTGTAAATTTTCACAAGCTGCCTCGAATAATGCACCTCAGGGTGCCTTCATCATGTGACTTTCTCAAAGCCCTAGGTTTTAACTACTTCTCTAGCCAATTGAGCAAGAAGTCATAGGGTAACAACCCTATAGCCACTTACACAAGAAGTCAATGGTAATAATCTTCTTTCTCTTGAGAGAGGAGAGCTCTGGCTTCTCTCTAACATCCTAGCGGCCATCTCCCCTCTTTGTAGGGGTTGAGATTTTCCGCCGCCCCATCAATATGGGGTTGAAGCGGCAGATTATTCTGATTTTAAGTGTTCTGACGCTTGGAATTGCACCTATGTCGGAGGTGATAACGTTGGTGGATGAACAGATTGCGGATAAGATTTTGTATCGGTGTTGGATCATGAAGCCTTGGTCGGCCGCTCCAACGGTGGCTGAGTTTGTATTCATACATATTGCAAGAGTTCATCCTCCTCCAGAACCACCTCCATACCAGGAAGAGTTTTGTGGAAAGATTTTATTACAATATTATTTTCTCTTTAGTAGTGCTAGTTTTTTTTTGGATGAAACGTAAAAATATATATCATCCAAGCAAAAGGAGTACAAAAATTTAAAGCTCCCCCACCCCCTCCTGTGACAAACGTATAGGAGAGGGTTGGAGAAAGCTTTTGAAATCAACAAACATCAACGAAGCCTATGCGCTAAAAAGCCACGGCCCAAAAAACAAAAAGCCAAGTGCTGCAAAATGCACGCACAAACCACTAAAACAGTATACAAGAAACACTAAATGCCATGGCCCAAAAAACTTTGTGCCCACATCAGAACGTCACCAAATCATGCGGATAGGTGTTGAAAAGGATCTTGTAAGTCACGTGCTTGATCTTAGCAATAACATCATCTTCTGTTTTCTTGCTATCATCGAACCTCATTTCATTGCGCGCATGCCATATGTAGTAGACTGTAGCACAAAAAGCAATGCGCGTAGCTTTAGCCTTCAATTTCGAACCTTTATGCGTCTTTTTAATCCACTTCACAACACTCAAAAGCGTCGTCATCTCATGAGTAAGACCCATCCAAGTCCTAATGTGCTGCCAAACCCTACAAGAGAACGGGCAAAGGAAGAAAAGGTGTGGTATTGTTTCCAAATCACCCTTGCGCAGGTCACACCTATTAACGATATGGAGATAACCGAGGCTATCCTGGGTAGGAAGTCGGTTTCTCAATGCCAGCCAATCGTTAAAAGAGAGTTTCGGGGGAATGTAGGATTTCCATATGAAACTCATAGGAGTCCTAGTTTCACCCTTGACTCTTAACAACTCATAAATCTTAGCGGAGGCTAATTTGCCATTAGAGGCCCGAGAATTAAGGCCGAGAATCATATCATTATTGTTATTAAAACAAGTCCGAATTTTATCCCGAATAAGACTCAATCTTTTCATAAGTTGTGAGTCTCGGGTGTGTGGAACAAAGTCCCACACGGTTCTACCCTTAAGGTAAACACCATTCACCCACCTCACCCAAAGGGTGTCTTTCTTCAAGTGCACGTCCCAAAGGGTGCGAGCAAGGAGGGCATGATTCCACACCTTAGCATTATGAATGCCAAGACCCCCTTCCTCTTTAGGGAGACAAATGTCATCCCAAGCCACTTTGGCGAACTTGCCGCCCCATAGAAAGATTCGGCAAATCGAGACAATTCTATCTAAAATGGTTTGGGGCACGGGAAAGACTTGGAGCCAGAATGACTGGACCCCTTGGATCACAGAGCGAATATGTCACGCCCCGGACCTATCCGGACACGTCAACAACCCGCCGTACAATACGAATAGTCAACTGCAGTCCAACACATTCATATTATACAAGGCGTCTTGAATATCATTCACACATATACATCCATAAACAAATATAATAAGTAATTCATAACGCAGCGGAAAACATTGTTTAAAACAAAAGGGCCACACATGGCTATTCATGAGCGCGCAGGCTCTATTGTAAAATATCCATGAGCATGTTTATTAATGTTTAAAAACCGAATGGAGGAAGCACGAACCAAGTCTTCCCTCCTAGATGATCACTCGAGCTACGAATTTCCTTGACATTCTTTGGTCTCTCCCATTCGGTAATGGCTTCTATCTTCTTGTTATCAACAGCAATTCCCGATCCTGAAACCACGTGCCCGAGAAAGCCAATTTCCTTTAGCCAAAATTCACATTTAGAAAATTTGGCATAAAGTTGCTTCTCCCGTAGTGTCTCAAGAACAAGTATCAAATGCTCCTCGTGCTCTTCTTCACTCTTCGAGTAAATCAAGATATCATCTATGAACACAATCACGAACCGATCCAAGTATTTATGGAATACTCGGTTCATCAAGTCCATGAATGCCGCTGGGGTGTTTGTTAACCCAAACGACATAACAAGGAACTCAAAATGCCCATACCTTGTGCGGAAAGCACTCTTTGGTATGTCGTCTTCCTTAATCTTCAATTGATGGTACCCCGACCTCAAGTCAATCTTCGAAAATACGGTTGCTCCTCGTAGTTGATCAAACAAGTCATCAATCCTAGGCAAGGGATACCTATTCTTGATTGTGACCTTGTTCAGTTGACGATAGTCAATGCACATTCGAAGTGTCCCATCTTTCTTCTTCACAAAAAGGACTGGTGCTCCCCACGGGGAGTGGCTTGGTCTAATGAAACCATTATCCAAAAGCTCTTGCAATTGGGTTTTCAACTCGTTAAGTTCAGCGGGTGCCATACGGTATGGCGGTATGGAGATTGGTTTGGTGCCGGGCTCGACCTCGATCACAAATTCAATCTCTCTATCAGGTGGAAGTCCCGGTAAATCTTTTGGAAAGACATCCGGATACTTACAAACCACCCTCACATCGTCGATGTTTGTTTCTTCTTTGGTTTTGTCAACCACGTATGCTAGATATGCGTGGCATCCCTTTCTCATCATACTTCTCGCTCTCACGGCGGATATGATACAGCTATTTGATCTCCCTCGATCGCCCTCGAAGCGTAGGGTCTCCCCATCATTGCCTTCGAGTTCAAGAACCTTCGTGTAGCAATCTACCCTAGCATGGTTCCTTTCTAGCCAATCCATCCCTAGGATTGCATCGAATTCAATCATGCTCAGCGGTACAAAGTCACACGTCAAGGTTTGACCATTAACCTCCACCCCACAAGATGGATAATAACAAGTTCTTTCCACGTCGTCCCCTAGTGGTGTTGATACCACTAAGGTTTGCATCAATGGTGCGGATTGCACTCCCAATCTCTTGGCGAATGCTTCATTCACAAATGAACGTTGCGCCACGGTATCGATAAGGATTCGCGCATCCTTCCCATTAATCTTTAGTGTTCCTACATTCATGAACCGTGTAAGACATCTTTCCTACCCTCTCTACTCATTTATAGAAGGTTACAATGTTCACACGCACGTTAGGGATCAAGAAAAAGGTCTTATCGTCGCAAAACGGTGCGAAAAAATCACCTTTCGGCAATCTGGGTGCCAGGCACGGCGTGCCTGGGATAGGCACGATCGTGCCTGGCTCCGGAAAAAAACCCTGGGGGCTACTGCCTTGGAGGCACGATCGTGTCTGCCTTAGGCACGATCGTGCCTGGTTTGGGGAAACACCTGGGGAGCTACTGCCTTGTAGGCACGATCGTGTCTGCCTTAGGCACGATCGTGCCTGGGCTGGAAAATTCCTGGGCAGCTACTGACTTGGAGGCACGATCGTGTCTGCCTTAGGCACGATCGTGCCTGGGTTCCAGCCGCCTGAAGTTGCCCGAAATCCCCCGGTTTGACCCCAAAACCTTGTGCAATAATCCTAGCGATTAGTAACCTCAATTTATGGACTAATTAAGGACAAAACACTAGCATACGAGAGGCAATACCTGCAACGGAATCCGGGTTAGCTTGAGCATCCGCCTCCGTCATCGCGTAGACCCTAGCTTGAGTCCTTCCTTGATTCACGGACGGCGCATTGCTTGCGCTTGCTCCCCCTTGCCCCCTGGACGCTTGTGAAGTCCCGGCTTGATTCCGTGTCCCGGTATTACCACTACTTGGTCCCGATGACCTTGCCCCACCCAATTGTGGGCAATTCATCTTCAAGTGCCCGGTGTTTCCGCATTGGTAGCATCTAGGAGGGTCACGACATTTCCCCAGGTGGTTTCTCTTGCAATTCTTGCAACGAGTCACCCCCGAGGCTTGTGATTGCCCGCCCGGGCCTTGACTTCCCCTAGATGGCAGTGGGGGTGTCCGAAAAGATCCCCCTCCCCCATGGTTCCCCTTTTTGTTAGGACCTTGAGGTCCATGGTTCTCCCACTTTCTCTTCTTCGCCTCTTCGGCGTTTTTCAACTTTCTCTCTTCCCATTCTTTCTCTCCTTTCAACCCTTGCTCGACCACTTGGCTAAAGGTCATGTTAGGCAACTGAGTTGCCCTCTCACGCACCTCCAGGTCTAAGGCATCCCAGAAGTGATTTACCATCCGGTTCTCGTCACACACATACTCCGGTATGAACTCCGCGAGCTCCCTGAATTTGTGTTCAAGTTGCCTCACCGTCATTTTGCCACCTTGGGTCAGGAGGGTATACTCTCTCCTTTTAGCGTTCACCTCAAAATCAGAATAATATTGGGCAAAGAACTCCTGTCGGAAATTCTCCCAAGTCACCGTGTTGCCATACTTTCCCTTGGCTCCGTCCCACCATGTGGATGCCATCCCTTCGAGCAACCTCACCGCCACCCTTAGCTTAAACTCGGGGGTGAGTTGCATATCAAGGGCTGCTTCGTTCAGCCTCTTGATCCATTCCGCGGCGACCGAGATGTCACCCGCTCCGTTGAAGGGTTTGCACCCCAAGTCTCGTGCCTCCTTGAGGTATTTGGAGATCCTTATGATCGGACCTCCATCACCCCGGCCCCCATGTGGTTCAATGTGGGCCCTAGAGTCGCCATGGCTTCTTCCTCTTGAAGCCCCACCCGAAGTTCGCCCTCCTCGGCGCCTTCGGCGTTCCCTCCTTTCCTCGCGCTCCCGTTGATATTGTTGGAGCAGCGCCTCTATTCTTGCTAGGGAGTCATTCTCCCCCTCTTCATCGCTCACATCATCGTCATCCCCTTCGTAAGGGGTCTCAACCGGCTCGGTCCCCGGTTGGTAAGTCGAGTCCTCATAGGACCAGTAGGTTTCACTTTCTGTGTCGACATGACCGTCACTCACGGTCTGTGATCGGCCTCCACGGCCAGCTCCTCTAGATGCCCTAGAGGTCCTTCGACTGCCCTGTCCAGTCTCCTCTGGTACACGGCCGGTCGGGTTTCTCCTAGTAATCCTGCCACCACGGTCCATTTCTGAAAGAAATTGGGAAAGAGTCGTTAGACTCGTATCAAATGTCAATTGACGGATGGGTACTTAAGACACATTTTGGCTCGAGTCACTGCCATACCAATTGCTAAGGGTACCATCTTAACAATTAGAGACCTTGCAACCCAAGTACCAAAAGCTCTCCAAGTACAAAACTTCTATGCTCATGGTTTTCAAAATCTTTTCAAAAAGAGAATTTTGAGACTTCATTATGAAGTTTATGGACTAAGGCTCTGATACCAACTTAATTGTCACGCCCCGGACCTATCCGGACACGTCAACAACCCGCCGTACAATACGAATAGTCAACCGCAGTCCAACACTTTCATATTATACAAGGCGTCTTGAATATCATTCACACATATACATCCATAAACAAACATAATAAGTAATTCATAACGCAGCGGAAAACATTGTTTAAAACAAAAGGGCCACACATGGCTATTCATGAGCGCGCAGGCTCTATTGTAAAATATCCATGAGCATGTTTATTAATGTTTAAAAACCGAATGGAGGAAGCACGAACCAAGTCTTCCCTCCTAGATGATTACTCGAGCAACGAGCACAGGAAGCAAGCTCTAGCCTCAACCTGAAAAATGGTAGTGGGACGCCCCCGAAGGGGTCAGCACTCTATAGGGCTATAAAGTGCTGGTGTGGATGGCATCTAATAGATATACAACAAGTATTTCAAACACAAGACCCTCAAATAGGGTGATAATATAATCTAGGCCGTAACCCCAAGTTACCCCTTTTCAAAAATATACTTACTTTATATATAAAGTCAAGTAGTCGGCCCGTAGGCCCAAGGTTTGTTTATTAAACATAGCCCAAAACCCCGTGACCCCTAGTCACAACAATACATAGGGTTCAACCCTAACACATATATTTGCATTCTCGAGTCCAACTCGACTACATCACCATGCATCTTATTTAACACAAGTTAACTACTCCACCGTGCATTTCTTGAGTCCAACTCAACTACATCACCATGCACAACAATCACCTCATCATGTCTACCCAATGCAATTCTATGAGCACGGACTCAAGTACATCTCCTTACATTGGCATAGACCCCAATTCCTAAGCACTCACTATGCCTAGAATTGTAATATCAATAATCTATTTTGGGACATCCCTACGGACTGCCCAACCATGGTCTTAGCATCACATTACATCAAATTTGTCACTTGCATCACAATCAAGAACATCAATTATAATCAAATCCTTAGATTCAACTCTCTTAACAATTACAACAATCATTAACTAGTATTTCAATACTATTAAGATTATTCTTATCCATCATATATTCCATTTGTAAAACCCTACATATTTAGAGATATGTAGCAGCAACTTAATCATTCAATGTAATACATAAATAACCATTTATGTATCTACACAATTCACATATGAGTAAATGCCTATTTCACACAATAGTTCATTTAACTCTATTTTCATCAATACTTTACCAAATCACTTCCCATTTCATTCTTTGGAAAATAGATCAATATTTCATCAATAATTTATCATCATAATCCATGGAAAACATGATTTAGGCATTTAGGTAATCTCATGCTTAACCTACAAGTTGTAAGCAACTAGATGTCGATCCTCACCTCAAATGAGCTTTAAAACTTTCCTTCTCGATCCAATGACCAAAGCCTCGGCCAAGGAAGATTGAGAACTGGTTCCTTGCTTGAAAATGGGTGTTAAACAGCTTCCTCAAGTTGCTAATTCAACCCCTAACCGTTGATACGAAAACAGCCCCTAGAACGGGTGTTTTCCGGCTAACTCGATTCCTAGTTTTCCAATATTTGCTCTAGGTTAGTATCTAACCTTTACATCAATAAAAATAACTTTACAAGGACATATTATACACTTGGATTAGTGTACAATAGTCCCACCAATCGTTCATATCATTTGGAAAATGAATGGAAAGGATTTGGGATTAACAACTCACTTAGAAGAGTAAATCCGTTCCTGCGAGGTCGCGTTCTGCTCGGGCGATTTGGAAGCCTTCCTCTACTCCGATTGATGCAAACCAGACCTTCACGGATTCCTCGTCTTGAGAGCTTTCTTTTGGTATCTCACACGCCTTAATTGGACTGGTAAAACTCGAGATATCAACCAAACAGTCTCAGCACTCTCACAGCTCGAGTTCACAGACCACTGCTCGTTCCAGATCGATTTTTGGATGATTACTCTCTCCTCTCGAACTGAGACCACTCAATTATAAAAATAGACTTCAAAAGCTATCCAAGGACACCTCATACACGTTATTTGGTTGAGGATAGCTCCTATAATGAGAGGAGACAAACAGCACACCAATTTGTGCGAAAATAAGAGTGGTGGCCCCAAACTTTGATTCTTATCAAGTCATGTGCAGCTCTTCTCCATAATGGCCGGCCAAGGTAAGTCTCCTAACCCATTTTTATTTGTCTTGCAGGTACTAATATCATGTGGAGTGGTTCCCAATTGATCCCAATCATTTTGGGATCCAAATTATCTACCAATACTTCCAAAAATGGGGAAAATGAGTCCTATTGTTTTATCTTTGTCAAAAGATGTCTTTTTGTACTCATCCTAATTTATTTAGAACAAGTCAACTTCTCAAATCACATTATTGATCTCCAATATGTGTAGGCTCATCCCAATAATTTACTTGATAGATATTATAGAAGGAAAATCCTACTCCCATTATTTAGCTCAATAAGGCCAAAGGTGGGGTTATAGGCATTTGTATTCTTCTTTAATCATCCTATCACTTATTTGACATTTGTCATACATATTATTGGGCTACTAGCCGTGTGGGTCACTCCCGAGTGGGTCTAGAACGCCATTCTCGAATACTTGCTATTTTAGCAGGTTGGGCTCAAAATAACGTTTGGGCCGTCCGACCTTACTCGGATTGTCTTGCAAGATTATGTATCACTATTTGGAAAATGTTGGGCTCTTTTATTTATTAATAAGACCCAAGTGGTATTTGCATGCTCGACACTAATATACGAGTTCGAACAGTACACTAATCGATCATTAATTACGTAAAACATTAATCGTTTTACAAATGTTTGGGAACCAGAAATCCAATACATAAACTTTGAATTTTAAATCAAATTTTCAAGGACGCTCGGGAGCGGTGTCACAGAATAAGCTCGAGCTTTCCCGCATACGAAATGGTCTTGGTATTCCAGTTATTAAGAAAATCAGTCACCGTCTCTAACAGAGGGGCATATTGGGCCACAGAGATTTTGAGGGGAGCAAGCGGAATGCCCAGGTATCTCACCAGAAACTCTCCACGACCATAATCCACAAGATCAAGAATATTCTGCAGATCAAGGTCACGAACCCCACCTACAAAGATATTGTATTTAGAATGGTTGACCCTAAGGCCCGAAACGTCCCCAAACTCTTTTAGAGCATTGACTAATATCTCAATCGAGTATTTTTCACCTCTAGAGAAGAGCATTAGGTCATCCGCGTAAGCCAAGTGGGTTAAACCCAACGAACCGCAAAGAGGATGGAAATTGAAATTTGGGGTATTGGCTTTAATGGTTATAAGCCGAGAGAAGTATTCAAGGCAGACTACGAAGAGTAAAGGGGACATTGGATCCCCTTGCCTAATACCTCTCTTACCCTTAAAAAAACCATGCAGAACACCATTCAAAGAAACAGAAAAAGAGGCGGTGGAAACGCACTCCATGATCCACCCAACAAAGCGATCGGGGTAGCCCAAACCCCTTAAGACACTGGCTAGGAAGTCCCATGAAATCGTGTCATAGGCCTTACGCAAATCCACCATAATCATACAACGAGGTGAGATGCGTTTCCTATTGTATCCTCTAACAAGCTCCTGGGCAAGGAAGATGTTATCAAACATAAGGCGACCATCCACGAAAGCACCTTGTGCTTGGTTAATCAAACCCGAGAGAGTGGGGGACATTCTAGCCGCGATAATTGTCGTAATAATTTTATAAATCACATTAGTACAGGAAATAGGTCTAAAATCAGAGACCCTCGGGGAGTGATTAGTTTTAGGAATGAGCGCTATAACAGTGTGATTCAACTGTTTGAGCAACTTTCCCGAGTTGAAGAACTCTTTGATCGCACGGATCACATCCTCCCCCACAATACTCCAATTCTTCTTAAAGAAAGCCGAGGAATAGCCATCCGGCCCCAGCGCCTTATCATCCCCAATTCTTCCTTGTTAGTTACTGGAGAGAGAAGGCTGTCATGAACCCCTGGTTCAATCATAGGGCCAGTTCCTAGGACCGTTTGGTCTATGGCAAGGCTACCTATTTCAGTACCAAACAAATCAATAAAATATTTTACAAATTCTTTCCCAACATGATCAATAGAATTAGTAAAACTGCCATCCTCCAAGGTAAGAGACGTGATAGCATTCCTAGCAGTATTCCTCTTGACAATAGCATGGAAGTAGCGCGTCCCCTTGTCGGCTTCTAGAATGTGAGTTGCTTTAGCTTTTTGTTGGAAAAATTTGCATTCGGCCTCTCCCAGGAAGGTAGCCTTTTTCCTAGCCTCTTTAACTTGCTCTTTAATTCCATCATCATGAGGGAAGGAAAGCAGCAACTTGTTCAACCTTTTGAATTCATCCTTGGCATCCTTAGCTTTGACAGAAATATGGCCGAACTCAAGTTTATTTAAGTTCTTAAGAGGCTGCTTAAGAAGCTTGAGCTTTCTAGCAAGTTGATATTGAGCCGTGCCACGGATATTAACACTCCAATTCTGCAAAACTAAATTAGCAAACGCATGGTGTTGAATCCACATATTAAAAAATTTAAAAGATCTCGGCCTAGAAGAGGTATTGTTTAGTATAGATATCACGGTGGCCGTGTGATCAAACTCTACCTCCATTTCCTCGAAATGGGCCTTACAATTAATTCCCAATTGATCCCAAACCTCATTGACTAAAACCCTATCAAGCTTAGCCCAAACAGCCCCTCTATTCCAGGTAAAAAATTCACCAGTGGAATGGGCATCATTAAGGCTAGCACGGATTTTAAAGTCAAGCAAATGACGCATAAAGTACGAAGTGGGAGGGTTGGAACCAGCCCTCTCACTGGGATCACAAACACAATTGAAATCACCCGCCACAAACCAAGGGTCCCTAATTAGGTCCCCTATAGTAGCAAGGTGGTCCCAAAGGCTTTTGCGCTCTAAAATGGTATAGAGGGGGTAGACAAACGTCACATAAAACACAATATGAGATATACGGCAAGTACATTTAAAATGTATATGTTGCCTATCCACCTCAAGCAAAGTGCAATGCAAGAGGTTAGGATCCCACAAAACAGCCATACGGCCACCACCAATAAAATCAAAATTTGTCTCAAATGACCAACCCGGCCATTTATTGGGACAAAATTTTTAAAATTATTAAAAGCCATTTTAGTTTCAAGAAGACACACAAAACTAGCATTATTAGAAGTAGTGCTAGTTTTAGTTTTAGTCAGAGTGAATTTGGTTTGAATGTTTGGATTTTCGGAGTTATTTTGATAGGCAGGGTTTCAAATCTGTTCGTTTTAGGCTTAAATTTGCCCGTTTCTGATTTAGCGAGTGAGGTTGCGTTCTATGAGGTGACTGATTCTATGTCTACTCCTAGGGTTCACGATTGGATCTGTAAAATTTGTCTGAAGATTGTCTTGTATGCGTTCTTGATTTAAATATAAAGCCGTCTGTTTTACGATTAAAAAAAAAACAAAAAAAAAACTTCTTTCTCTTATTCACTTGTAAATACACATTGGAAAGAAGTCATAGGGTAACAACCCTATAGTCATTTTAAAAAAATTGTGTTGCATACATGCACAATTGTTATTCTTGGACGGAATTCCCTTTGGATAAAAATAAGGATAATGAAAAGAAGGAAATAAAATAACATGTTTGATTCGCTTCGGCTAAACAAAAGTAAATGAAGTGAACCTAACTTGCTATAGACGGTCAAAACTAGCATGAATTACTTACACTTAAGATGAGCAGAAAACACTAATTTTTGATACACAAAGAGTTGGGGAAATGCTAGAGTTTTTTAAATTCACCAAATTTCTGCTACTTCTTGTAAGCTCTACACTCGGGCGAGTTCTCTCTTAGAGGTGATAAGGGCAGCCTAGACGAGTCAACAACACTATTGAAGTCAATCTTTCTGTCAACTGGACTGCTGATCTTGGCACACGATTTTCTTTTGTTTCCCTGCTAACCATTTTATAAATTAGTATCGTATACCATTGTACTGAATAACAGGCACATAATACCATGCAGATTCAAAATTTGAAGTTTTTTTTTGTTGTACACCTGACCTTCGCAGAAGTACTACTTGTGTTCTTTCCATCAGAACTAGATTTACGCTTCTCCTTCTGATACTGTTGCACTAGCCTCTTGTTCTCTTCATCCAGCATATTATTTTCTTCAGCCAAAAGTTTCACCTAAACCGCACCCAGAAGTATGAACATTACAATATAGTGGTGCTAGAAAATCATATAGTTTTGATACAACTACATACCTCCTCTTCGGCTCTATGAAGGTTGATTAATAAGTGTTCCTTATCTGTCAGCAATGTTCGGACTTCAGCTGCCAATGCAAGCGTATGGTGTGTTGATGGATTCAATCTAGCACAGGGATAGAAAAAACAATTTCATTCAGGGACTTCACAAATAACAAACTATAGATGGGAAACAGACAAATATGAATTAATATCACAGGCTACCTTTTCCACCTCTTTAGCAATATTTGGCAAACCTCAACATCCGTATTTGCCTCTAGAAAAGCAAGCGCTTTTGATTGAACTTCATCTCGGCTCATTGTGCTTAACAGCAAAGACTCCAGCAAACCTTTTCCGGTACACGCTTCTTCTCTGGAAGTACCAATCTTCAAGAAAATAATGTGTACAATTGTCAGGCTACCAAGTCAAAACTATTCCAGCGAAATGTAAGACTGGTGGTTCTTAAATCTTACAGCTGACATAATTCAGAATGAAAGACATCCGAGCTCCACTGCTCCAGGTTGATTGAATAACAAAAAAAAAACAATTTACTCGAAGTGTTGCCCCATGAGAATATTTAACTTTAATTGTATACTCACATCTGAAGTTCATTATAGACCTTTGTTAAATAGTAACAACGACTTAAAACAACTTGACCTTTTTATGTTGAGTTTATAGCCACTTACAAGGCATAAGCGCATAACAATAAAGAACTCGAGCCAAGGGACATAAACTATCCTCACATTCACAGAAATTACCAGTCCAGCTTATTCTTTTATATCCGCCAATCAACATTCCTCTATAAGTTTATCTATCATATAGCCTAAAAATCACATTTTTGGAAAAACAGGTTGCAGACTTGCAGTAAACAAAAATACAAAATACGATTCTTTATTCTCCTTTTCTACTCTCATTTTATTAAGAACATGGCATGTGATACTGTTATACGCATAAATAAACTTATAAAAGCGCACTAATTTCTAAACACAAAGGAAAACTTGACACAATGTTTTGTAGAGTGCACTAGGGTTCTGGTTATATGGGATTGTCGGGGTCCTAGTTAGTTTTTTGCATTTTAAATGTGTTTTAAACACGTACCATTTTTTCTAACAGAAACACATGTTTAAAACAAAAAATAATGTCGGTCCGTTTAAAAACGCAAAAAACTCATACTTCCATATAAAACGTATTTTTCCTGTATTTTACAACATATAGAAACATGAATTGATCAATTGAACGAATACATTAAATGGATAGGAGATCAATAATAGTTTAAAAGAAAAAAAGAAAACCTCCTCCTTGTGACCCCATGTTTTTGTATTGTTGCAATACAATTATTAAATATTAAAATTAATTGTATGGCGACTAGAGCTAGCATACTAAATGACTAAAACTTAAAATATAACTAGATTTATGATGGTTTTTCAAAAAAGCATATTAAAATTAAGGTTTTTCTAAACCTCACATTTTTTAAAATAAACTTTTACAATAATAAGTGTAGCAATCGCTTAACTTTCTCATATGTCATCCGTCGTATTGATGAAAATGATGAGTTTAACTTGAGTGTTATTTGATGATCATATAAAGATAATGATTTTAACTTAGTCTCATTCTATTGTTATTATACCATATTTTTTTTATTTTTGCAAAATTATGTCTTGGACTTAATTAGTACGGGTATTTTTATCATCGACTTATGCAATTAGTCTATTACGAATTATTCTTTTATGTAGTAATGTGATTTCCTTCTTGAATATGTGTATACTTTTATTTCTTTTTACCATATACTACCTCCGCCCCAAAATGTTTAGCCAAATCTTAAAATTTGGATCATGAATTTGATTAGTATAATATTATGAAAGTTCTAAATTTTATACTTTTATGAAAGCACTTTTAACAAAGAACATTTTCATATCATTTTGATATTATAAATAATTTCCAATAAATATATATTATTGGTCAAAGTTTTGGATTTAGCTAATTATTTTGAGACGGAGGTAGTATGTTATTTTGTGAAGTATATAACTTAAATGTTTAAAATAATATTTTTTGTTCGAATTTTTGTAACAGATACCGTATTATACACTTATACATATTTACACGCTTTTTAAAATTCAACGTTGTTCCGACGTATTTTTGACCTGTTTTTCATTCATGTTACCGAATAAAACGTGTACGTATTAAACCTCGGTTGATTCCCGTACCATATTTAACTAACTAGGGTCGGTGTAATGTGCCATTGGTATTTTATATACCCTCTGTGGGTACATGGGCTCCCATTATGTATTTCTCCACAAGGAACATGGAAATGATGGAACACCTCACTCAAAAGAATTCTCACAACTTCACTGGAATAAAATTCCCTTCAATACTTCGATAATTTGTGATAGCTCAGCCCATCTCTCTTTCCATTCGATCATTTTACATTCCTTTTATTTTATCATCTGTTTGAGACTACTTGCTGATTACAAATCTTACGGCAAATTCATTCAACTATATTTTTTATCCTTGTGCGTAGAATCTTTGAATTGATTATTTCCTGCTAGGCTGCTATCATATCCTTCTTAATATTTCCAATGATGGGCTGCTAAAATCAATTTCTCAACCATGGCTAATACCCCGACCCTACTAATCGTCAAGCAGAACTGGAAGGTAATGCTTTTAAAGTATACCTTACAGTGATATTGATTATTAAATTCGATGCTTTATACAGAGTAATTGGTAGCATAGAGATTGATATTTTTCACAACTGTTGGTCATTGACTAAATTTCCTTTACGTGTCCTAAAAGCAGAAATCATCTATTCATCATCAAATCACAAATGTCATTACTAACCAGTTGGGATTCCAACTTGTAGAACTGCAATTCCTCCTCCAACTTCTCTACCTCCTTCTCTAACTCCTTCACACGTAACTCTGCGTCCTTGGCTCTCTGGTCCGCCTCATTCCCAAAATCCATCAAAGCCTCCCGATCACAATCATATAACGAGCACTCCCTCTCCCATCTCTTGCACTGTTCCAACAAATTCGAGCACTCTATAGCCAGTTTCTGATTCTCCTCCACGAACTTCTTCAGCCCTACCGCATTCAAACTCGCCTCGGCCTAGAAAAACAACAATCTTCAGCACTGAATAAAAGAAATCTCATAAAAAGTCAAAGTGTACAAATAGGCGGAGAATGTTCAAACCCTAGCGCGTTCAATGATGCAATCTTTTTCTTTGAGTTTGGATTGCAACGAAATGCACTGATTGCGGAGCAGGGTGAGTGATTGTTGGGAGGCTTGGAGCTTCGATTGAAGAGTTTGGGTCGACACTGGGAGACCCAGGGAATGCTCTATAGATTCTCGAATGTAATGGTCCGTTTCTGGCGAAATCTCCATAATATTGAAGACCCCAGAAAATTGACTGCGTATCCTGAAGAATCCCAAAGCCACGGAAGATAACAAGAACTAATTGAGGTTTCCGATTTCAGAGAGATGGTGGAAGAGGAACTGGACTTTGGGTGTCGTCAGGAAAGTTTTTAGGGAAACAAATTGGAGTAGTCGATGCCTAGCCGTTACATTTGGTTTTTGAAGTGCTGGTTTTGACTTTTGCAACCACATGGGTGGGCGCGACTGATGACCTACCCGGCTACTAGCATTGATATTTGGTTCCATTAGAATATTGATACTATTCCGGTCATTTTAGGCTTAAACTTGCTTGTTTTAGATTTAACTAATCATGTTGTTTTGTATGAGGTGTCTGACTCTAAGTATCTTCTAGGGTTCGTGATTGGAACTGTAAATTTTGTCTGGATGTTGTCATGTATGTGTTCTCGATTTTAGTATAACGACCGCTCTTTTATGATCATCATTCATCATTCATCGTCATTATCTCAGTGCCGCAAAGGCTTCCACCTATGGTGGGGTAAGGAGGTCGGATGTACGTGGCCTTACCCCTGTACTAAAGCACAGAGAGACTGTTTCCGGATGACCCATATTTTGTACCATAAAAGTACATATTTTGTATGATGATACCATGATAGATAGTTGAATTATTAGCTAAATATGTCCCTAACTACCAGCAACTTCACAAATATATCTCATACTATCACTTTTCTCATAATTACACTTTCAATGGATGAATTGGTAAAACATAAGAAGAAAATCATATTAATATTTCATATTTTTCATTTCTTTCTAGTTTTATGTTTACAAGCTTGTATTGCTTGTATATTATTGGCAATTTGGCATTGATAAAAATGAGTAATTTTAAAAATACAAAACAGAAAAACAAAATTGTTAAACAATTAAGTTTGGGTCTATTTTTGATAAAAGTCAAAGAATGAGATAGATTTTTGAATTTGATGATAATTTGGAATAAAATAAGATGATAATCCCAAATAGTGCAAGGTTACAAATAGTAAATTTAATCGCAGTACATTTTAGAAAATCCCAAATACTGTCTTCTCAGTTGATTTTTATCTGAAATTTGGTATGAGTAAACTAGACTTAATGAAAAAGAATCTCAAAAAATTTCACCAAAAAATTACACCGGGATCCGCCCCCAATTGTCGACGGCCGGACAAAGTCTCCTAAATAAGAAGTGAATTGCACTTTTTAGGTTAATTTGAGAACTTATTTGACGTTGTAACCTTCGCAGAAAGACTAAAATGAATATGTACGAATGTGAAGTTTTTCATTTATAACGGAGAAATAAAAATTTGCACTTTAAAATTAAAGAGTTAATATTTTAAGATATATATAAATCTTTATTTTAACTAGTTAATTTTTTTTATTTTTCAATTTCAATTTTTTTTAGTCTTTTTGCAATTGTGAAAACGTAAAGAGGTATATCATGTTTTAATTTTTATATTATAATCATGTTTATACAACGATAAAAAAAATCATGTTTATAAACATTACTAAAATAAATTAATTTCTATCTGTAATCAGTACGTTTTTCTCTCCTTTTCCATTTTCTCAGTTGCTAGCTAACAATAGAGACCTTCTGTAAAAAAAAAAACTAACAGCAAAACTACATGCGATATGAAGAAAACCATTATCTTGATCGATCTCTGCACTCCTGGAAATTGATTATTTTGTATATATTTCGATCATATCCGGTTCAATTTCTTTCCGGACAAACAACGATCTCTGAAAATTTGAAGTTCAGCTGCAGGAATTGTTTTTCTCTGTCCTCATTCTGTGCTTAGTAATTTTTAGGGATCTGCTTATTTAGCTGTTGTTTTCTCCATGGCGTCTTGGCTCAAAGCAGCTGAAGGTATTATTCTTTGTAAACTTTTTTCTCAATTCACTGTCGGCAATGTATATTTCCTATCACACGTCTACGTAGAAATGTCCCCATTTCAATAAAGTTGTTCTGTTACTTCGTGAAGAATCGGATTTGAATCGTTTTTGCCGTCAAATATTTCATTGTGAAAAACTTGCGAGGCATATGATTTTAGTATATATATTTTTAACTGTCAAAAAACATTAATTGTGCATACATTCTAACATGCATATATGCATGTTTAATGAGAACAACATGAGTGTATATTTCTTCAAAATCAAATGTTAATATACTCTGTGTTACTCTGTACACATAAAAGAGTGGCAACTCACTGGCAGTTACCCGTGAGAAGAGGAAAACCACAGTCCTCCCAAATGACGTGATTATGTGTGCAATTAGCGGAGTTCATGTAATGACTACTGCAGTAATGGGATTGTGTGACCCTAATATGTAGGAGGTAGTCATTTCTATTCATTTGTTGATCAATCAAGGGAAAGAGGGCAAGACCCTTATTCTGAACTCCCTCGTAAGTCTTAAATCTCATTTTCCCTACCCTTTGAAAACATTCTTTCCGGAGGCTTTCACCCTCACGTAGTAGAATAATGAAACATAGTACCAAATCCTTAACAGTTTGATGCTTTCATTGAGAGAACAGCCATTGATAATGAAGGAATTCAAACCCGCTACTGAGTCCTTGAAAAACAGGTGCAACAAATGCGTGAGAGCAACCAGAAATCTGCGTATGAGCTGCGTCAAGCCTTGGTTGCACAAAACCGGGTCCTTACGGCAGGAATAACTGACTTGTCAAACTGAGTCAATAATTCCACAGCAACATCCGCCACCATCCCCCCCTCTTCCTCGCCAATGACACGTTCAAATCAGACGCCACCATATAATAACCAACAACCACGATCGATGAGGTGTGATATATCTATATTTGGCGGGGCTAATGTCTTGGATTGGCTATTCCAAGCAGAAAAATACTTTGATTTTTGGGAAATTGTAGAACAACCAATTGACATTATTAGTTTTTACATGGTTGGTTACGCACTATCGTGTTGTCAATGGATGCACAAAAACAGTTAAATGTCATCTTGGAGGGCTTCAACCATCGCCATGGAACAGAGGTTCGGCCCGTCAACATATGTGAAACATTGTGTGACACTCTTTAAGCTTACGGAGATAATGACGGTTGAGACTTATCTAGATGCAACCGGGTAACCCAACTTCATCTAGATGCAATAATAGATTGTTTTATCTCTGGGTCGAAATCCTTCATTCAGAGCGAGTTAGCTATCCTCCTTGAAACTATTGCCAAGGCCAAATAATAAAAGGTAAACAACAAGATTCCAAATCTTTCAGCTTTAAGCCCAGCTCCGGGAAAACACCTGCTAGCCAGAACATCAGCCCCACTTCAGCCTGTATGATCAACCAAATTACCTTGTTACCCCTCCCAGCACTCCCAGCTCAGATCCCAGATAAAAACTTCTCTGCGCATTAGAAAGTTAACTGCTGCAGTGTTGCAAAGCCGTCATGCCCAAGGACTTTGCTATAATTGCGATGAGAGGTATCATCCTAGAAATCTATGTAAAACCAAGCCTTTTTTACTGCTGTTAGCGGATGAACCAGCTCGCAAAGAAGAGCATAAACAGAGCTCTGTCAAAGTTGCAAAGGTAGAGACAGAGGGAACTTTGACAGGTCTGACCCTGAGAATTATTGTTCCATGTATTAGAATGCATCCAAGGACCCTGTACGTGTTGCTTAACGGCAATCACCAAGGGTCGATAATTAACAGTGAGGAGCTCCCACATATCTCCAGCCTAGCGAACCATTTACACCTTCTGGCAGATAAATCAACCTGCTTTCAGGTTGCTGTTGGCAACGGTGAACGAATTTAAAGTGAAGGAACGTGTGCAAATGAAGCTTTCACTATGCAGGGAGCCAAGTGTGAGGCAAACTTCCATTTATTAAAGTTCAGTGGACTGTGGAGCGGATGTCATTTTGGCAACTCAGATGTTGGAAGGCCTTGGAAAATACTCATTGATCACTAGTGGATGAACATGGAATTTGAATATAATGGGAAACATGTAAAAGTCGTGGGAATTCCCACCCCTGGTGCTACCGCTGTTTACTGTCGTAAAGGAACTAATGACAACTAATGAGATTACATCGTAAAGGAACCATAAGTCCATAACCCAAAGCTTTTTACTCTTACACTAGTCCAAGTTACCTAATGCCTCTGAAATATGCCCTACTAACACACCAACCCCACTTGCTATAGACGAAATCCTACAAGAATTCTGATGTATTTAGCCTTCCCCACATGCTTCTCCCTAACTGCCTGTTCAACTATAAAATTAACATTCTCCCTCATTCCACTTTAGTAAATGTGAAGCCATACCGCTACCCTCACTTTCAAAAAATGAAATCGAAAGACTTGCCTAAGAGATGCTTAAGACTTTAAGGATGACATTATACGATAAACCATCTACTAGGCCATTTTCATCACCCATTTTGCTGGTCCGCAAAAAGACGGAACCTGGAAGAGTTACATGGCGCAGTAATATTTTCGAAGCTTGATCTGCACTATGGGTTATCATCAGATTCAGGTCAACCCTCTAGATGTTTTGAAACGGCTTTTAGAACCCATGAAGGTCATCACGCATTCTTGGTAACGCCGTTTGGTTTGACTAACACACTTGCGACATTTCAAGCCACCATGAACGTGTTCTTTAAACCATTTTTGCGGAGGTTTGTGTTGGTTTTTAAATGATATCCTTGTGTTCAGTTTCTCTCTTACATATCACCTTCACCATTTGCGTATTGTTCTCACCATACTTCATCAACATCATTTCTTCGCCATGCAGAACAAATTTAGCTTTGAAAAAAAGAAAAACTTGAGTATTTGGGCCATTTTTGTATCAGCTGAAGGGGTAGCTGTGGTACGTGGTTTTCTTGGCCTCACAGGCTACTACTGCTGATTTGTATGTGGATATGCAACCTTGGCAGAGCTGCTAACCGAGGTACTAAAATAATATACACCAGGCTTGCTACCTCTTTTTACCGGCAAGGGATGCACAAGAAGGTGCAACATGATACAAACACTACTCAGCATCCCAACAATTAATCTAGAAAGTTTTCATCCAAAGGGTTTGTTGCAGCCGCTCCCCATCCCCGCACAGGTTTGGGAGGACATATCATTTAATTTCATGACATCCGTATTGATCATAGGTGGAAAATGTGTGATATGGGTAACTGTGGAAGTGTGGATCGTTTGTCCAAGTATAGTCACTCATGTGTTCTGCCGACAATGTGATGGACCC